CCCCAGATCTGTGCTTGTGGATGATGATTTCACCCTGCCATGCTCCACGAAAAGCAATTAGTAAGTCCCGCCAAGTTCAACGTGGCTTAGTGTTTAAGACTGCAGTCACAGAGTGCAGATGACGATCTAGGGAGTTGCAAGGTATGGAAGAGATCTGGAGCTCAGGCCCACGACCAACCCTCCCCCGAACAAATTTGCATATGCTAATTTGCATGTGAACTTACTCTCTTTCCAGGATAAACTGAACATACTGTCTGATCAAGATAAAATAAAGAGAAGGGGGAAACAATATAAGAGACAAAAAGGATGACAGACTTCTTCCAAGAGGAATCCTAAGAAGAGCCTGCAATAACAGAAAGTAAAGTGAAAACTGCTTGGAAAGTGCTTGCAAGGAATAAAGGACCTGGAGCAGATAGGATCCCAGTGCAACCACTCCAAGCTGCAGAGACTGAATCAGTCCAAGAGTATGTCAACAAATATGGAAAACAAAGCAATGGCCCACAGACTGGAAATGTTCTCTATACTTTCCAGTCCTCAAGAAAGGAGATGCAAAAGAGCGCAGCAACTAAAGGACCATAGCACCTGTTTCCCCTGCAAGCAAAGTGATTCTCAAGGTGTTTCATCTTAGATGTTTGATCAAATCAAGCCAGAACTTCCCCTGGAAGCAAAATGACAAAGCTGAAGCTGTCATACTTGAGGCGCATCTCGAGAAGGCAAGACTCACTGGAGAAGACAGTCATGCTACGGAAAGTCAAACGCAGAAGAGGAAGAGGAAGAGGAAGAGCCACAAGCGAAGGGGTAGATTCCACAAGGGAAGCTGCAGCCTTGAGTTTACAAGAGCTGAGCAGGGCTGTCAAGGACAGGATATTTCGGAGGGCACTCGTTCATAGGGTTAGGGAATGTATGTTGCATGTAACAACAAATTTGCATATAAAATCCCCCCCCCCCGTGTGTCCTTAAAGGACCTTGTCTCCTAATGTGTAAAACAAAGGGACGCAGAGTCATGGGCATTTGATGTCAGAAAAACAACCAACCAACTTGGGGCAGAAAGGGTCAATGATCAGGATAGCAGGGATCAGATCCAGAGAGATCAGATGCGACTGTGACAACCAGGGCCCCTGGACCTTTCCTTCAGCAAGTGCCCAGGGGCGGCAGAGTGGTGGGGTGGATGGAGATCTGCGGCTCTCAGCCCTAGAGGGCAGTCCCCTAACATCACCTCCCATGCAAATACACACGTCATTCACTTCCCCCACTCGGTCCACGAACACACGCAAGAATTATAATCCATTTTGACTGCAAATCGGATACATGGAGCAAGTTGGAATATCTCTTCCCTCCCTCCCTCCAGCAATAAAGGTACATCTGAGCGTGTTCCTGATGTGGAGCTACGTTGAGTCAAGCTTTTGGCAGCTGTTAATCGCAGAGGAAGCCGTGCCCGAAAAGCAAACTTTGCCTCCTCTACCTGCCCATCAGAACGCACGGGAAAGGGGCTGCCTCCTTCCTCCGCTCGGCGTTCCCCAAGCTGGCGCCCTCCAGATACGCCTCAGCGGCGCTCCCATAACCCCTAGCTTGCTGGGGGGGAGTTCATGGGCGTGGCAGTCCAGCACATCTGAAGGGCCCCCTCGGTTGGGGAAGGCTGCGTCGAGTGAAAGAGAGTCCGGCCGAGCCTCGGTACGGGCAGGAAACGTCTCCTCGCGGCTTCACTGGCGCGCACTGCTCATGTGCATACACTTCGTGGGAAGAAGCCCAGAAGAAGGGTTTGCACATGCCCAGAAGAATCGGATACCTTCCCTTGGAGCTGCTGCCGCTGCCCAGCGTGAAGTTAGGCGGCCGCCTCTGGAGCCAGCGGCCCCCGCTCGTTGTCATGCCTACTGCTTGCCGCTGCGAGCCTTCCGCCGTGTGAGCGAGCGGCAGCGGCGGCAGCAGCAGCGCACGGCAGCGGCGGCAGCACCACCGAGGAGGGGAAAGAGAGAGCGAGGCAGAGAGAGAGAAAGAGAGAGAGGGAGGGAGGAAGAAAGGGGACCCGCGCTGGTCTTGCTGCTGGCACCAAGTCCCGGCAAGCCCCGGCGGACCCGCGGACGGCTCGGCTCTCCCCACGTCTGCCTCGAACAAAGGGGTCGTCGGCAGAAAGAGTGGCGAAGAGCCGCGCCGGTGGGCAAGGGGCAGCCCCGCGGCGGGTAGTAGCGGCGGCAGTCCACCCTCCCCGGGCTATTGTGGCAACCGCGGAGGAGGAGGAGGAGGAGGAGGAGAAAGGCCGGGAGATGGAAGATGGAAGGAAGCGACGGTGGGGTAAGTGAAGGGACTCCGGTCTCCGCCTGGGGCTTATTCATTCTTCGTCGCGCTTCGCCTTGTAACACGAGATGCCCTTTGGCTGAGTTTTGCTTTCTTATGTAAACGCTGCCTGAGAACAGTTTCTCTTTATGCCGTTTGCGGCCACCGCAGGCGCCCCCGACCCCACCCCGGCCCAGCCCCTCGCGATGGGCAGAATAACCGCGCGCGTGTGAGCGTGTGAATGAACGAATGAACGAACGGACGGAGAACGCCTTCCGAAGACCCCCCGGCTGGGATCTCGCGGTGCCCTTGTTGCCGATGCGTGCTCCTTCAACGCTTTGGGAGTGATTTCGGGCGAGTTTAGCTACAGGTGGGTAGAGTATGTGACTTTAGGCTTGGAGAGGCGTCGCTTCTCGGCTAAGAGCTTCACTGTGTCAGGCAGGCAGGCAGTCCCCTCACACTTGTGCCAGCCTACCTCATAGGGTTGTTGTGAGGAACGGGGAATAAAGGAATGGAGCTGAGAGTGCTCCATCTCATTTTTTTTCTTGGAGGAAGGGCAATATGCAACTTGTCATAATAATAATTAAAAACATACTCCTAAATGCCATTTCTGCTCTAGGATATGAGTTTGGAAATCCCCTGTTAAAATCGCATCTTGGCTGTGCAAGCAATTACATGTTTCACATCCCCCTACCCCCATTACTCTCCTATACTGTGGGATTTTTGTATCAATTACAGAGAATGGAGTAACAATTTCTACTATTTAATATACAGACTTGGAACTTCATTAACATTACCAAAGAGCAGTTAAGGCAGTATTACAGGACTGTAGTTTCTTCCCACCCCTTTTAAATATGTAATATATGCGGATAAAAACTGCAGAGATGTGAAAATTTACAATACAGCTGCTTCCAACAGCGCAAACAAAGTTGCAAGCTGACACATTTTTGCATTTCATCTGCTGTGGTTGTAGTTGCTTGGAGTCGCTCTTCTTTCAGTTTCTACTTATTTCATAATCTCTTGCTAACCCCATACTCTCATCTCCAGGAGTAAATATCAAACTCGATGGGACTTGCTTCCATCTAGGTGTATCTGGGATTGCTGTTCAGTATGTTGTGAACCTATCTGGACAGGACTTGTGTCTCTGTGCAGCTTTTGTAGCACTTACACCAGCCTTCTCCAACCAGGTATTGGGGTATCAGGTTGGGGAAGGCTGACCTAGATTTCAGCCACTCACACACAGTAATTATTAGATTTAACGTACTGAGCTAATAACACACATTGCTGTATCCTAACATTTTTCCACACTTGGGCTGCACATCTTGTAATTGCTTGGGGGTCTTTGGCTCATATGATTTTTCTTCCTAGTTGATTGAGAGCATCTGCCTACTGTTGTTCATCCAGATTATATGCAAATATGTTTGGCGTGCTATTGCTTGGATTCTGTATTTTGTTTCAGAGGCCAGGCCGGATTTAACAAGTTACAGTGATGAACCTGTGAAATTCTAGCAATAGCTTTCAAAAGATTCAGAATGCATTGCGGTCATTGTTGCAGAAATAACAAAAAAGTTGTTGAGGATGGCAGATAGTGAATTGGAGAGTGAACCTGGTATCCAGATGCCCTTTCACAGCACTTTGGAGGTTGAGACCAAGTTCAGACAAGATTATCCATGCTCAAGGCTCATGTATGGGTTGTGTTATTGCACTGAGTGAAGCTAGCCATGCTAACATACCATGGCTTGTTAACTGCAAACACCCACAGTTCATAATCCAACAATAAATTATGGGTTTGTCATGGTTAACAAGCCATGGTTTATTAACATAGGTTCAGACATGGTTCAACAGCAATCCATTCAATGCTTGAAAGAACACAGCCTGAGCTACCCATATAGCCCAATAGGTGTTTTAAGAGCTGGTTAGGAGGTGATACTGGGCTAGTTTCTGGGCTTAAGTGTGCTGTCAGTGTTGGACTTCTGGGCAGATGCCCAGGGCACCCCTCAGAAGAAAGAACAAGAAGCTCCCCCCCCCCCCCCCAATAGCAGACAGACTGGTTGACTATATTTTGAAGTAAGTGAAGTAGAACACTTTGCCATCTACAAAGTGTCTAAGACTACCTAAATCTGGGGGAGAGGGCACCATGGTAAGGTAGGGAAATTGATTCCTATGAGTAATGCCAGGCTGTCACCAAGCATCTTGCCCACCTTAGCTGTATCGAAGCATCTTTTCCCACACTTTTTAACTTGAGTGAATCCCTCGGACTTTATAGCAGGGGTCATTAACTTGGCACCCACCCACACCCAATTTTGGTCTGCAGTTCCCATCAGCCCAAACCAGTGTGGCCAATAGTAGAGGACCATTGGAGCTGTATGCCAAAATATCTGGCAGGCCACAGGTTGTTCACCCCTGCTTTATGGAGGGAGAAGGACAAACACATAGGCAGCACTCTGTCGACTGGCTCAGTGAGACAGCTCCACCCAGAGCGCTTGCTCAATGTATAATCCACCAAACAGAGTGCACCTCACCTGCCATACAGCTTGGCTTGCTAAAGCTCAGTGCTCAACTTTGTGGCTTCCCATTGCATGTTTCTGAGGGTTTAGGAATGTGTATCTGCTGTTTTAGAGGTGAGGAGAATCTCACAGTCACAAGTGAGTCTAGTTGTGACAAGGATGACAGTCACTTAGTGTGGAAGTGACTCAATTTGCACCCTTGTTAGCTTCCATATTCTGATTTCAGGCTTGAGTCTGTTGACATGCTTGGTCCCACTGACATCCACTGCCCACTTGACCTGCTTGCATCAGAAGAAGCTCTCAGATAAATCAAGAATAATATTTACTTGATGTCTTTTCCTGTTCCACTGAGGCTACATACAGCGTCATGCATCTGGGGGATCACCCGTCTTGGTATGAAGCTGCTTGGTTATGAAGTTCAGCAGGGAAGACCCACTTGAAGAGAAGCCCTTTTGTTTCTGGGAGCTCCTTGCAGAGCAAGTGGAAAAGGGCTTTCTCCTATGTTGCTCCCAGAGTGTGAGACACACTTTTGCAAAAGTTAAAACTTGTTCCAGCTGTCTCTGCATACAGGAAGAGGGTCAAAACACATCTTTAAAAGCTAGTATGGTTTTCAAGGTTGTTTTAAACATCTATTTGTCCACAATTTTTGTTTTCTGAATTTTTGTAAACCTTCTTGATTCATTCCGGAAAGTTGGTACAGAAATGCAATAAATGATAATAAATAATAATTTGGAATGCATATAGCTCCTTAGAGTATGTTTCAAATACATTATCTCAGTCACCCTTACAAGAGCCCTGTGCAGTTAGTTGGTCAGCATTAGCCTCATAAATGGTAGCTGCAATGAAATGTTGCAGTGTATCCCCCTCCTAGCAAAAATGCTCCTGTTTACCATTCCAGCCATTTTGTCCCCTGGGATTCTCTAACCTATGCCCTTTTCCATTTTTCTTGTCTGACTGAGACATACATTCTGCAGCCGCTGAGCAAACTTCATTCTCATTGGGTTGGTTTTCGGAGAAGGATTTTTTTCTTGGGGGGCTTTTTCAAGAGTTTTTGTCTGTGGTCCTTCTGCAACCTATGGGATTCCCCTGAGCATATTTCCTTCTTGTTTTCTGTTGGCCCTGGTTTGGTTCCACTCCTGTCTGTACCTATCACTTGACTGTAGCACTAGAAGTGATATTGCAGATGAGAGATTGAGAGAAAGTGCATTTCCTTCAGCAACCTAGCAAGTTCATTGTTAGAAGCCTCAACTTCCCGTCTCTCAGCATAGTCTCATGCCAGCAGTTCTGTGTTTACTCAGAAGTAATTCCAATGGAACTTGCTTTGTGATAAGTGTCCAGGATTGCAGCTTTAGTCATTACATCACAGAGTCTCTTTAACTGAACTTTTGGGCAGCATTTGTATTGTGTTGTTCACAGAAAAGTTCTTAAATGTACCTGATCCAAGCGGGGGGGGGGGGTGGAATCAAATAAAATATGGGCACTTTCACCTTACATATTTAACTGGATGCAGGACTGTAACTTTTACGTTTTCTTTGTGGGTGGTGGTGAATGGCTTGGAAGATGGTGTAGAATTTGTAATAGTAATCTTGCCTCTTGAAAAGCACTTAAGCCTGTATATATTTGGAATCCAAATGACAAGATGAGAACTGACTTTTGCTCCTGAGGTTTATACCAAGTCACTGGCACAAGCAAAAGTTGCAGACAAACCCATGCCTGATGTATTTTTCACATATTCTTGTTGGAAACACTGTTTTGTCTTCTATATCACTGCTGCCCTGTCTGACGAAAAGATTTGGTCAAATGCTCTGACTGTAGAGGAAGTCTTGAAGCAGGGCTGCTGGAACAGATCTTGTTTAGGTTTCAAAGGGCTTCAGAGTTCCATTAACTTTTGAGGCAGAAGCCAGATTCTGATAATGTGCAGCTGGTGTTGTTGGGCGCAGGCAGAAGAAAGGGCGGCAACAAGAAGTTTGTTTGGTACAGTAAGACCTCTGGGCAAATTATTGTAACAAGACAGTGGAATAAATTTGCAGGAGATTGTCTGCTTCATGGGTAGGCAACACAGTGCAAAATGCATCGGGCATCTTCAATGCCATAATCGTCTATTTTTCCAGCATCAGTCTGGGGACTTGCCTCTTTAAAAACAAATCTGCCATGTACTGTGTTAGGTTCTTATGCTTTTGCACTCTCAGATGGGCATTTCTGAAGTATGCCTGATGCAGATGTGCCCAGTCTGAACCCTGCTGGATCAGCAGGATTTTCTCCCTTCGCATGCTGCCAGAGTAGCACGAGAAGTGCCAGGCTGCAGGCAGAGAGCCAGTCCTGCGCTTCTTTTATGTCCCAGAGAATCCCTCACAGAAACTGGAGCAGTGTTGACGTGGAAAGGAGAAGTTTCATGGCCTTGAGTGTTCAAGTTATGTCTGTGGTTAGACTGGCTGCTTATGCCTGGCCAGAAAGAGAATAAAAGCGGGCACGGATTATGCATGACTTTTGCATATGCTAATTTGTATGTGT